GAGGTTTAAGCTGTCTCTCTCTCCGTATTTACGCATGTGGTGACTTCGAATGGTGCACCTTATTGTACCGCATCCCTTATTTGCTTCTCTGTTTGTTTACTCATCAGTAATATTATTTTTACAGTGGAGCTGTTAAGGGCTAATTTTCCCAGGATCGTGTCCGCCAGCAAAGAAATGCCGACACAACACTCCCGACAGCTACCGCCATCTATGAGCGACGGCAGCAACCAGGCAACTGCCTTGCCGGTTGTCTGGTTGCCGCCATCGCTCGTAGATGGCGGCAACCTTTCCAGCCTTTCCACTCTGGCTTGCCGACTTTCGGCCGGCCATTACTTCATTCCCACCATAATAGAGCTTCACTGGTCTTCCTTCTTCACCAGAGTGGAAAGGCTGAAAGTTGTTTGCTCCTTCTTATTCCGTTGGTCCTTCTTATGCCTTTTGCTCTTCAAATCCAAAATGTCTGATTTTTCGTTTGTTTGTCTTTGTGCCTTTTCAGAGCTGGACAACACCGGCGTGATCGAGCCGGACAATGAACCACCCTTCGAAAATGGTGATGCTAGCATCGAGGTTAGTGAGCCATTACGACGCATTGCTTCGCAACTTGAGCCCTGTGGGCCAGTCTCCCGTGGGCCAGTAAACGTATAAGGAATGAATCGGTCAATTTTTTTCATATCACTTACAATTTCCCGCTAACCTTACTTGTTCTAGTGCCATGTCAAAGATGGTGACTTTTTTGGTCCCTCAATACACTGGCACCTTTCTTTGAATCCTTATACCACGTGCAGCCTTGGGCATCTAGTCTGCAAATAGTAGTATGCGTAGCATGCACTAGTGAACAAAGCCACCGACAGCCATTAATGAAGTCCTTCATGTTGTATTCAATATCTCGTGTGGCCAGGTGAAGCATGGATGCTCGAGTCGACCCTTTGTTTTGATGCTAGTTCTAGTGGGTATTACTGCCCCACGATCCATTTTAACAGGTGGATCTTTGATGAACATCTAATGCTCCGACGGGCTTTTTTTCATACTTCAGAGGGCCCTATCTTTAAGTTTTACTAGCTTTTAGGAGTGCTGTGTTGTATCCTGCGCTGGTTTTATTTTTGGGGTAAATTCTGTGGCTTCCTTTCAGGTGACGGACGAGATGCTGGAAGAGAGCTCTGAAAAGAGGTCCCAAGCAATGGAGCTTCAAAATGAAGGTCAGTACTGGCTGTCCTCTTTTTGTTTTGGGGTTGGGGGAGGGGGGAGCTTGACATCTGCTTTAGGAATGAGGAGGTGAAAGTTCTGTTCATCATACTTTCCCAGGGAAACTGGAGGAGTCGATAAAGCTGTGGACGGAGGCCATTTTGAAAAACCCGTCCGGTGCCGTTCTTTTTGCCAAGCGTGCCAAGTGAGTCTGCTTGCTGCCTTCCCCAAGGATGTGCCATACTGCATCGGGTTTGCTGTTCCTGGCATTTAGTTGTGGAAGATAAAAATGGCATTTGTCATCAACTGTTCCAGACGGAGATGGATCGGTGTAAAGTCACGCAGGTTCAAATGTCCGTGCTTAGACACAAGTGAAAGTGCAGCAGAGTAGCACATTCAAAAAAGCTACTCTCTTTCGTCTGGTTTCTTGCACATTCCTGATTGTATTTTTTGTCCGGAGAGACAAATGGTGCAGGACAGAAATGAAAGCTGAACGATACAAACTGAGGTTTAGGCTTGTTCATTACGGAATGGAATAACAAAGACATGTAGATACTCTTGCTTTCATGTTGTAGCACTCAAGAGGGTGGTGAAGAAAATGAAGAACTTTTAGTCGAAGGAACAGACACAAGAGGGAATGTCTCGAACGCGTTTGTTTCAGGCAAGACAGAACAAACAATGAACCAAAAGTTCTTTATTTTCTTCACCACAGTCTCGGGTGTTAAACGACATGCTTAGACCAACTCGCCTGCAGACTGAGTCTTTTCACTCTTGCTTTCTTCACCTTACTGTATCTTAAGGTTTGGAACTTGCATCTAGGGTAACAGTTATAGCAAGTCTCATTCTCATTACCTAAGAGAATAAATACTACTGCAATGGACTTTATGATAAAAATAATAGGGGCTAACGAAAAAGAGGAATTGGCAGTTCTTGTTTGCTATGTTTACTGACTACCTATACTTGGCATCACCTATTTTGTGCTGCATTGTACTAGCGTAGCTTCTACAGTACTCAAGCGCTCTCGGAGCAACTTGCGCGGGCGAATGAGGCACAAGACCAAGCCACTTGCTCCCTCAGCAGTGTGAGGTCCCAGCTTTGGAAGCTACGCTAACTTTGACAGCTTGGCAAGAAATAGTTGGCGCCGACTACAGCTCTGTCTTGCGAGTGCCTTTTGTGCTTTTATTTGTGCAAATGAAACTCGCTGCAGGAAAAGTATTCCAGTTAACGAGCTGTTCCCGATACTCTTTTTACAGTGTCCTGTTGAAACTGGAGAAACCCAATGCTGCCATCAGGGACGCCAACCGGGCACTGGAGTTGAACCCGGACCAGCCCCTGGCCTACAAGATCAGGGGACGAGCCAACAGGTGGGATGGACCGTGGTCCAAGAGGCTGCTGTCTGACCACCTTTCTTGTAATGGCTGGCACACAGCCGGTTTTGATAAGGTGCCTGGAAGGCATCTTCGCTTGTGGTCTCTCGATTTCGGCCGGACAAAGTCACGGCAGAAATCGAGCTGCCGTGACTTCGGGCTGCAACAAAACAGGCGGACGCCTGTTCTGTTGCAGCCCGGTCCGCAACCAGACGTTCAACGGGAAAACCAAAGCAGACGGGAGACGAAACACTGCAACAACAGTGGCCGTTGCGTCTGCTCGCTGCCACAACCGGCAGCTGGGATCATGATATCCGACAGCACGACACGCCGGCTTTTGCGGCGCAATTTGTTTCCGCTTCGGGTCGAGCTTAGAAGCACGGATGGAATAGGGTGGTAAACGCACCCGTCAAATCTTGTTCCAGGCACCATAGTTTGGAGACAGCGGTTTTATTAGTGTAATTTGAGGATTCTCATGCTCACCTAATGCTAAACTTTCCTGGTTTGCTTTTGATTCGCCAATGTGACTTTGCCATCATCGTGTGAATGTGCACCTGGGTCTCTGATAGGGCTGCTTGCAGCCGGTGACGTTGGGCGTAGTGCTGTTTATGGTTGCATTAAAATGAACCATCAATGAATCGCTCATTGTGCGCAGTCAGGCACATATTAAAGGGGCACTGACACATCAAAATCATATTTTTTTTTATTATACGAAACGATTGAAAACGATGCCGGGACATTACCCTCAAAATTTGAAATTTGGGAATTCAGTATTTGTGAAGTAAAAAAACAATTTCCAAATGCCGAATTCGAAGTTCCCGCGCGATCGGCGCCGGTGCCTTGACGTCAAAAATTGCGGAGTCCTGAGAGTCCACTTTTTTTCACCACTCCCTGCTGTTGCCATGGCGACCCAAAGCGAGGAGGAAAGGAGCGAGCGCAGGCGTTGCGGCGGACCGGTTTTGAGCGGTGTCGCCTGTTTTCCGTTGGAGGATACAAATCCAGGAGACGGTACCACAACGAACTCCCGATTTTTGGTATTTCAAAAAGAAAGGCCGTAGTGCGTTCGCAATTGCGTTAAAAAACATGTTTTAGGATTGCCGTAATTAAATGTTGTAGAGATGTCGCCTACAAAGCTTCTAAATTTCATGATTCTTGACGTCACCGATCAAAAGGAGCGAGGAGGCGAGAGGCAGGAAAATCAAACGCCAAAAATAAAAAGGCGCGCGCGCGGGCGGGAAAATTTTTTTTCGCGATGCGGTTTTTTTTGCGTGTCTATGACTGCAACTTGCATCGTTTTAGACAATAAAAATAAATACGACCTTTGGGGTGTCAGTGCCCCTTTAAGTGAGTCTTTCTGGAAGCTGATGTTGCTTGTCTTCTATGCTTCCAGGCTGCTTGGGAACTGGGAAGAAGCGGCCAAGGATCTTGCCATGGCCTGCAAGCTGGACTACACGGACGAGGCCAACGAGTGGCTCAAGGAGGTGATGCCGAACGTGAGTTTTTTTTTGTTTTTTTTATCCTTACGGTGATTTCAGTCTTGGTCATAGCCGAGCGCTGAGTCACGCTTGCACAGTTCAATGAGAGATGGGATCGAAGGACAGACAAGCTGTTCCAGTGGGTGGAGACTGCATGCGTCATCATGGAGGGTAGTGCGGTGAAGGAGGTTGGTGGGGTGTCGATGCAGGTTTGGGTCATCGTTCGCATGATGACACGGGTACACTTTTTGCATTTTTTGACAAACGTTGCTAAAGGAAGTCTCAATTAATGTATTAAGGACCAGCTCTCAATGTACTTTCGTCTCTGTGGCACGTAACCTCGGTGGTGACGTCAGAGTGTTCATGTGACACTGACGTCAGGTGACACCAGGATGTTGCATTGTGACGTCATGTCAGGCGGTTCCATGACGTCGTATGAAACCGTGACATCATGCAACGCTGACGTCACGTCACATGACCACATGCTTTGCTGATGGTCACGTGACACTGACATTGCGTGACACTGTGACGTTATGGTTTCACATGGTCATGTGATATTAGATTGCACATCTATAAATACCGTTCATCTAGGGCTCCTTTGGGGCATACCAAAGAGACGGGCGGATTTCTTGCCTTTCTGACCCATGCTTGTCCCTGGTGACTTCAGAAATCGCCTTGTTTCACTTTTTGTCCAGAACAGGGTCGGGCTCGAATTTTATGCCCGTTTCTTTCTGCGGTGACGGTAGGAGTAACTTTTTTGACGTTGCTTGAATGACAACTCTGCTGCCTTGCAAAGGAGTAACTACTCTATGGTTTCGGTAGTCAATACTTGGGGCAGGTCTATCGTTGAGCCCAGGCAGTCCGAAACTACCACAGTGCGTAGCCAGAATGGTTCAGTCGTTGGTGTTTGCTGAATCTACACAGCCGCTGTGGTTGCTTTTTGAGCAACCAGAGCAGCTTTGAACAACCACAACCCATTGTTATGGCAGTTTTATTCACATCAGCTTTTATTTCATATTGGAAGATCTCGTTTAACACGGCCATATTATCACAGGCTTGAATATTTCATAGAGTTGCTTTGCCACAAGGTTTGTTTTGTGACATGGTTGTGACACTTCTGAACTAAGCTGTATGGTTAGTTGAGAAGTAGATGCTAAGTAATTGCCAAGTTTTGCTGAGATTGGGTTGTTAGTGAACAGGGAATGTCTTTCATTTGGCAACTTTCTGACGAGAATAAAAGAAAAAAAAAATCTGACCCATCATTCTCATTTTTTTTTAATTTTAAGAAGCATTACTCTGCCATCTGGTATGTTACCTCCTGTCCTTGTTAATTTCAACGTGCCATCAAACCATCACCTGCCAAATTATACTAGCTTGTCATCCGGCATTGTGGTCATTGATTGTTGGGGAACCATCTTTACTGGGCAGTACTGGAGTGCTGTCTACATGCAAGGAACTGTTCACCAAGAACATTGAAACCTCCACTGAGGATAGTCGACTTCATGCCTTTGTATGAGGTGACTTGGCACCAAATGGAACTATGGGTATTCATGGAATTCCTCTAGTTTCCTGTTGAGGCCATACCAGTCTGTACTACGGGCAACCTTGGGTATTTAGTGAAGCATTTGTGGAGCTACCCTAAATTTCTCGGTGAGCATCTGCTCATTCGCAGTCCATGAAGGTGCATCTACTCTACCCAAACAACAGTGCCTTCCTGAAAAAAAAAAGGATTCCCACAAAACTGGCTTTTCATCCACCACTGGCAGCCAAAAGAGCGAGTCTTCAGAGAAAACCCGCTGTCAGGTCCGTCCCCCAGTTATTGGCCACACCAGAAAGTTGAACCTTTTTGCAGCTCCAGCGACGGAAGCTTGTGGACGTAGCTCATGCTGCGTGCACGCTTTTTTTTTTTTTGCCCAGCGAACGACCACTTAAAGCCAGTAGCGGTCACAGTGTCGGAGCTCCAGAAGAGCTCAACTTTCTAGCCGCGGCCACGACGCCATACTTCCGACATCGTTGGGACGTTTGTTCTCGAGATCAATAAGCGGCAGTTTCTCCTCAGCTGCGTCGCTCCTCGGCACCCATCGGCACCGGAACCTGACCGGTGGCCGACTTCTCGTGGTCCTTCTTGAGCTTTGTCTTGTCGTTGTACTTGCCCAGAAGCTGTGGCAGGTCGTAAGCTATGGCAATGTCGAGCTTGTCCAGGGGGCACCCCTTGAAGTAGGTGCAGGTGTCGATCAGGGGCTTGAACTCGTACACTGGATTGAGCTTGAAGAACTTATAGTAGACCTGAGGGTCTGGCAGGTCGTAGCGGCTCACGTTGTTGAGCCGGCTGAGGCCCTCGAAGATGTTGTACTTGTTGGGCTCCTTGGTGATGGCCTCGGCAACCTTCTTTTTGCTGCCGAAGATGCCCTTCTGCTTGTAGAAGGTGCTGAGGTAGCAGTCGACGAGCTTGGCGTGGTTGCGGACGCGCACCGCATGTCGGCGCGCATAGGCGATGGTGTTCTCGACGCGCTCGTCCATGATCTCGCGGAGGTGGTCGAGCAGCGCAAGCTCCTGCTCGTGGAAGAACTCTGCGGGAGTTCCGGCGTGGTAGGGCCTCGAGGTCATAGAGACGGTGTGGATGACAGGGGCCTCGCTGCTGCCCAGGAGCGGGGACACGTTCCACAGGAGTTGGCCCGTGACGCGCATAATGTCGTGCGGCTGGACAAAGTCGGCCTTGTTAAGGAGGAACCGCGTCTGCGCCTCGCGCCCTTTCAGCTGGTCGAGGAGTGTGGCCATCTCCTCGCCGATCTCGAGCTTGCTGGGATCGAAGACGACATAGATGGCGTCGGCGCGATCAATGAACCACTGGAAGGCGTCGTTGAACGGGTAGTTCTCTACCTTGCGCTTGTCGAGTATGCCGGGTGTGTCCACGATGGTGACCTGGAATGAGGAAGAGGGGATCGCCGCTTACCAAGCGAAATTTGGACGTTGTGCACGACAACGACTTGCCTTTTGCAGAAGTGGATGTGGCAGCCCGATACCCCTGAAGTGGTCCAGGAACCCCTGTCCAAACTTGTTGACGCTCGAAAACGCCCAGTGGGCGGCCATCTCGGTGCCGCTAGCCCGCTGCAGCTTGTCGGCGTAGTGGACGATGGTGAAGTCTATGTCCGTCGGTTGGGGGCCTGCGGTGTCGGGAAAGACGCGTTGAACTGGGGCTCGGCTCCATTCCATGCATTTCTGTTTATGAACAGAACGGTGTTTGAAGTGTGTACCTGTCTTGAGGCCTGCCTTGGTATGCTCCGTTCCGAGCAGGTAGTTGATGACGCTACTTTTCCCGGCGCTCCACGGTCCCAAGAAAAGAGCCATCGGCTTGTTGAAGATTTCTGCATCTGAATAGGAAAAGATGGTGGAGCTTGTCATTATTGCATCGGTCGTGCACTGCACAGATATTGCTGTATAAAGCTTCATTGAAACATTTTTTGTGGTTAGATATGTTGGACACGGTCTGGACCGCTGAATGGCCGAAGATTACCCGATCTACTCTGCAAAGAAGTGGAAGACTGGCATTTCTAGTTTTACTCGCAAGGAATCATCAGAGAAACAGTTAAAGGCCAACATACAACTTCGGTATTCTGCAAGGAAGATAATCCTCTCAGCGCTTCTCTCCCCTAAGCTGTGAGAGGACCCAAATTGAGGCAAGGCAAAAAGTGGAGAGGATTTAGGAAAGGAGTAGGCCGGCAAAAGTGGAAAGCGCAAAGTGTACTTCAGTCTTTGAAGTTTTCTGGGTCATTTGACACAAGTCTTTGTTTTCTCGTGCAAATTATTTGTATCTGGCTCTTTTCTTTTTTCTGTTAGACTTCCAGGATATTGTGAACAGTGTTAAGTTTTACCTCCAAGCACTCTGGTGCTGATGTCCTTGAACTTGTAGAGCTTTTCCATGGGCTGAATGGCATTCACCGAGAGCTTCTTAAGCTCCTGCAGGATCTCTTGGATGAGGGCATCTTCTTCCTTGTCGTCGTCGCTGCCAATGTCCCTGAAGCCTAGCACGTCGGCGATGTGTTTGCGGGAGCGTGGTCCAGCCCGGACCTCTTCCTCCTCTTCCTGCTCTTGAGACTTGTCTCCCTCAGACGAGCCTCCTTCCTCTTCGGAGCCCTCGGGCTCCTCGGCTTCTAGTCCTGCATCTGCCTCGTCGCTGTTTTCTTCCTCTTCCTCCTCCTCCTCCTCCTCCTCCTCCTCTGGTGCATGCTCACCTTCCGTCTCTTCCCCACTATCAGCCTCCTCTTCCTCCTCCTCCTCTTCAGTGGCCCCTACCTCCTCTTCACTCTCTTCCTCCGCTTCGTGTCCGGTCGTCCCTCCTTCCTCGCTTGCCTCCTGCGGCCGAGGCTTAGGGTTAGTTTCGGCGACTTGCTCGAATGGCGGCCAATGTTCATGCAGTGCAGACTCTGGCATTTGCTCAAGTGCACGCTCTGCGCATGCATTAAGCGGCGTACGTGGCTCATTTATGGTGTGCTTTCTTGATAGAGAGGGGAAGAGACGAGCGTGAGCACCATTCTTGAGGAATGTTCAAGAATGGGGCAAGCTGGAACTGAAAGCGTCCACTACATGCAGCTCTGGACCTCCGCACTGCTGGACGTTTGCTGCTAGCTATGGTACTCTCTTTATGTGGCTTATCCTGCTACATCATGGAAGTGACTGCTTCTAAAGCAAGCGACCTGGTCACTGCTTGTTGCAGAAAAACCAGGTTTCTCCCACACGAACTTGGAGAGGTCCTCGCGTTGCCGCAACCGATCGGAGGTGCTGATGGCATGTGAAATATGGCCCGCTTTGCTGTTAGGGTGGTAGTCGTCAAGCTGACAGTTATGATCTATTTCCGGTTTTGACGCATCTTTTAGTATACACCTTGAACCACGGGCTCTAATAATACAATAAATTTCAAATGCTGTTGCCATATGCAGGTGCGGAGGACAGAGCTTGTGGACATGTGCCTCTATCTACAGATAGACATGGGCTTTCAGCTTTGCTTTTCTTGGAGTTTTATTTAAAGTTACGACGGTTGGCGGCATACATTTTGTTGGAGGTGAACAGTAGCAAATGCCAAGCGGTGAGATCACATCCAATCACGATAATCACCCCGTCGGGTATTCAATCCAATAGCAAAGACACGGGAGGGCACCAAATCGCTATCTAGGGCCGACAAACGAAACTCTCGCACCTGAGGTGTCGCTCTTACAGAAAGCATAGGCATTCATTCCGGTTATTACATTGCAATGCATCACACTGAAAGATCTCTGGGAGTGAGCATATAATGGTTACATCAAGTACTATGTCTTGTAAGTTACGGCCTTGGCCTGCTAGGCAAACGGTTAACCAGTTCTTCTCATGGGCATGACAACAGACATCCGATTGTCAGTCTCATTGTCATGTTTATGAGAAGAGCTTGCCAAGTGGTTGCCTAGACCCCCTTTCTGCCTTGGAAGTGGAACACAGCGACCACTGTGGGTCATTCAGGAGGTGTGTCACATGATCTTGCAAATCGGCAGAATGATTCACGGAATGCAAGGTCACGTGAGAGGCTCCCAGTGCCAGATTGGCAGGGCTACATGGCCCGTACCGTCTGCTGTGGTCCATTGCCAAGTTGAAACGGGGTGCACGGTAAAAATGTCCACACCTATATCGGTCTAAATGGTGGCCCAAGCCTAAGACTGTTAGTTTTAGTGTAAGTTTTCTACAAAAAGGTATCTTGGTGAGATTCTAGAGTCATCTTTAAGTTTTTTCTTGCGTCGACAAGTTTACACCAAGGTTATATTAGCCAACAGAGGTGTTAGTCCTGTGGCAAATGTCTACACGGAAAAAAAGTGTAAAATTGCTGTATTAGGGTAGGACTTGTGACTACTGGACAAACTGTCTAGTCTGCGAATGCAGGATTGTCGCAGTGGCACATTAGGGACATCTCTTGGTCTTTTTTGCTTTCTTTGCGGGTTTTGGCGCATCTCCGTCAGTCTTTGGCAGTTCTTTTTCAGTCTGCGCGACCGGTTTGCTCTTTCTTGGCTTGGCCTTTACCTCTTCGCTGTCGGCAAGTTCCGGTGCGTGCGCTTCTTCGTGTTCCTCCTCCGACTGGGCTGACGTGTCCTCAGCTTCGGCGTGTCGTGCTGCAGCCTTGCTGCCTCCGTGTCTGTGCTCTTCGGTCATGGACGCTTCTTCGTAGTCGCTGCGAGGAAGGAGAAAATGGCGTTTGAGGGGTCCGACAGAGGAAATTCAAAACACGTGAACCGCAAGACAGTCTTCACCCAGGACTGATTATGGGTGAAGTGGCTTTGCTGGAAAGCCATTACATTTTGGGGTAGACGCTTTGAAACCTTTGTCCCGCGTAAGGCCCATACTAATTTTTCCAGAAAGAGGCTAAACCCAGCAACAGGTGTGACATCGGGTAGGGTGGAACCTGCCTTGAAGTGAGATCATGGTGTCTTGCTGTGGAGACAGATGCCTTTTAGAAGCAAACTAAACATTTTTACACATCTTTTACCCTCCATCATTGCAACCAGTTTGTTTCATCATTGTAGATAAACTGAGCGAGAATGGTCAGACGTTGCAAATTCGCTTGGTCAATATCTAAAGAGCGGATAAACACTATAGGCTTGACGATGCTATTCTGTTGTCTGTGCTTGTACAAGCTTTGCTTGTGAATTCTCAGAAATGTTAGGAAACGGATTGATCACTGCCGACTACAAAACCTGCCACTGCTTGCTGCATCAAGGGCTGTCCAAACAGGAAACGCTTTCTGCTATGCACAGACAAAAAAAAAAAAAGTGCATGTTTCTTAAAAACTAACATTACGGCGCTCGCACTCATTGTCAATGAGGACATTAACGACGGAAACGGCCAAACAGCACTGCTTTCCTCCTCAGTGTCGTCCCCTCCCCTTTCTTGTTTTTGGGAGGTTAGGGACTGACAACAATAGCGGAGGCCCTGACGACAGCTAGCAGTATGTGTGAGTGGCTAGGTCCTACCCTACGTTATGGGTATGCTCCAAGGCTTTGTCCAAGGACGCTGACGGATGGTGACTTTCCGCCCGGCAAGAAACGTCCCAGAGTGGACCGGTAGCGGAGGCCCTGCTTCCGTCCAGCAAACGCTGTCCACAGCAGAAAACGTGTCCTGTATGGACAGCCCTTCACTTCTACTTGCAGCAGGTTTTACACTGCAGCCTTGCAACAGTCATGGACTTTCAGCATTGCCGGTCTAGCAACAGTGATACGTTGACGGGCGATTGAAGTCGTTTGTCGACGGCAATGGACGCTGTCGACCATCCCAGCCAATGCGGCTCCAAGAGCAAGCCACGTGACCTTTCTGATGGGTGAATACAAGAGATTATGGTGCGTGATGCACAAGGTCATGTAGCACACTTTTGGCGCATGATGGGATCTAGATTAGGTGGGTCAACATTCTTTTGCTTAGGGTGATGCCACTCTTTTTAATACCCGATGTTGACGGCACGTGATCACAGAGGAAAGGCAAAGGAATAATTGGGAATGCAAGTACAGCCGTAGCACTAGGCAATGTTACTAAAACACTCGGGCAACTCGCCCTTGAAACCTAGACTGCTGGCGTCCATCGAAACCGAGCTAAATTTGATAACAGCGCCACCTTTTAGCTACGAGTTGAAACATGTAAGTTGCTTTGTGACTGCTAGAGTCACTGAATGTTCCCAGAGTACCGACACCCCCAGGCTCAAGGTGCCAAGATGGCGGCTCTCTTTTTTCTTTAATGTGGTCACCTTGAGCTTTTAGAAAGCATGTTTTTGCATAAAAAGAAATGGAAAAAGCTGTTTTTGTAGGAAATTTCATTGGAGATAAGTACAGAATGACAGGAGCGTGATATTTGCATAAAAGGTTAGTTTAGAGGATTTTGGGGCACAATTAATATTGTTTTTATGCAGCCATGCCTCACTAGTGGCCTCAGGTAGCGCGTCCTGACCTGACTGCGTCCTATCTTCGGTGAATAATTGCGGCGCGTCCGTTTGGGAGACGGAGTTCGAAACCCTGTCCACCGTATATTTTCTGGTGCCAGAATGGCCGCTCAAAGCCAAAATTGAAAAGTAACGGCGGACGCTATTGAATATGCTACTGCGAGATGGCGCCACCGGCCCTTGGGCAATTCGACCTGAACGAATACGTGCAGCCGTGCAGTTCCATGAATTGCTGCTGCGGGAGAAATGGCGGCGTTGCGATCGCCATTAGTTCGGTTCTCGAGTACGGATCTGTGCCACTTTTTCAGAGTAGGCTCTATGGCAGTTTCCCAGCTTTGTTAAGAAGGTAGGGCGAGGGAAAGGAAGGTGGGAGAGAAGGATGCAGCGCTGGCGAGGGGAGAGGGTGTCCTCCTCCCGTCGTCAGCATTGCGTTAATTTCCTCCTCTCCCACCTTCCTTTCCCTCGCCCTACCTTCTTGAGTTGTCACCGACTATAGTAACCTTGCACTAGGGTACCTTCATGTGTGCTTTGCTTGGGGTATCGTAGTGTGACATGTGACCATTTTGCTTGCAGCGCTTTCTTTCTTTTTTTTTTTTTTTTTTGAAAAGAAAGGGGGGGGGGGGGGAGGGGGGTTTAAAGCTCCATGTACGTGTACGTATACGGGCCAATAGTGTTACCGCTCACCGGGCTTTCGAAGCCTCGTCGTCGTCGGTCGGAGCGCTGTCTTCGGCGGAATCGTCCCTCGGTTCGGCGGCGTGTCGTTGGACGTACTCCCGTACGGCGTCTTGTGCGAGTTTGCCGCAGTCCTCCAGAGAGAGCAGCACCGGTTTCGGGGGCTCCCTCGTCGCTTCCCTGGAGTGCCCTTTGTGCGGTGACTGCGGTGACCGGTAGACGTAGGTGCTGGCTGCGTTGTCAGAAAGGCAGTTACAGATCGCGGCGCTGTCAGCGCGAACGGACGGTCTCCCATGCAGCGATGCGATTGCAGCGCCACGTGACTCATCCTGCTGCCCTTCGCCGGCACGTGACGACTTTGGCCGACGTTGCACCAAAAGTTAATTTCTCATTCTGAAGTCCGAGACCCGCTACATTGTCGGTTTGTTAGGTTAGTCTACTATCTACTGATTTTTCTAACTACTTTCTGACCACGGCAAAAGTAACAATTGTCAAAGGATTCGTGCAAACTCTTCTATTTTCCCAACTTTTTAGCACAATCCTTCATGATGGAGAGAGCATGACGTCAGCCCTTCCGCAAACAATATTCTCGTGGAGAAGTGTCTTCTCCTAATATTTTTAACCTTCTCGCTTGCACTGACTGATCGAAATGTAGAGAGAGAGTTCGAAAAGCCGCGTCTGCTCGAGTCTCTAGTGAGAGCAGAATATCGAGTGTTTCTTCAGACTTGACGAAACATATAATTTTGTGTGAGAAATCTAACAAGACCAAGCTTGAGGAGGGTACTTTGGGCCGTTGATGAAGATGATCGGATTGACGATGACGTCGCAAGTGCGAGTAGGTGCAATGCCACCTAGAAGTCAAGGCCTGTACCATTCTGCCTATGACGTCACCGCTAGTGGATCCACGAAGCGCAACCTAGCTCGCGTCGCCGCGCGCGCGCGTCAGCGTCGCGCGGCGACGGCAAGGCACTACCGCTTTGTGGCGTATTCTCGTCTAGCGTGTTCGTCGCTTGGGGCGGGTCGGGGATGCACCGTTTATGACGTCATGAGCGTGCCTTTCGTCTGGGTGGTATGGCTTCGTGCTTCTCGGACTAAACGGTGATGCTTTTAAAAAGCGGGAAAATGGAACCCCGGGAAAAGTGTATCCAAGGGTGTCGATTACGTCGGCCCGATGTTTACGGTCGTAAGTCGAGCGAGAAATTTGAACTCACGATCGAAGCCGTCGTCCGCCGGCATGAATTCTGAAAGGAAAGAGAGGGAAAGGAAATTATTAAAAACTGGCATCTATTTCCTAGTCGTTTTTCGTTGGATTGGCACGGACCTCCTCTCATATGCCAAAATTATCCACAGCGTATTTTTCAATTCCTTCGGGTGAGGGGGGCGTTTATGCTGACTTTTTGCCACAGCTGCACTGGGGTTAGCTGATGCAGCGCCGTGACATACTAAAAAACGAGAGGCTTTTTTTTTTTTTTTTTGAGCATTATTGTTTTATATATTGTAAAAATAGTAGGTGGCTGTGGCGGGCTTTCATAAACAACTTGTTAAGCATACAGGTTATGCAGTTTAATAATCTTGTTTTTCTGTTGTTGTTTTTATGCATGTAGAGTTCAGTTTCCTATCCTGAACTAACTAAGCGAAGCCGGACTTGTGGTACGCTACATTCCACAGAACTATGGTCAACCAGGGATGTACGAGTATAGGCGGACTTATTAGTATCTTGTTACAAAACCGAAATGGCTAAATGGCGCGTGCACAGGAGGATGGGACCACCTACTAACGATAAAATTAATTAAAAAAGAAATTCAGTTGTTAGTAACGCGTGGTAGATTCTCTTCCTGTGTCTTTTGGCGCTTTCAGTCTTCTATGGATGATTCGCAGAGCTCTTAAATGCTGCACGATCCTCCACGCTTATCAAAATTCTATAGTTTCTAATTTCCCAATGGTACTTGCAGCATTCCTTCTCTCTCAGCCTCGATTTTTTTTTTTTTTTTTTTTTTGCTAATACTGGGTAGCAGGCGAGCGTGATGAGCAAGGCTGACTTCGTTTTTCCATCGTCTCGTCTTTTTATCTTTATCTGCGTAATGCAGTCTCATACGCTCAGCACTGCTTCGCTTTCCAACTTTATTGCGCTAGTTTAAAACCGTATGTCTAGGATATACTATTGCCAGCCGTATCGGAGCGAGCCATACATGCGTGGCTACGCACATTATTTGGTCAGAAGAGTCACCCGTGGCTCCCTCTGGAATGTTTTGTTTAGCCTTAGCCTCCTCTCTACTGACAAAGCCTGGCAGATCGTCACGAGAAGCGGCCACCGAAATTGGAAGAGGTAGAGCGGCAGACAACGGATGAGAGGAAAGAGCCACGTGACGGGCGCCCCGCTGCGGCGAGACGCCGAAACACACTTCTCTCGAGCGATGGAATGTCCGCTCGTACTCCTCGCGCTCCCGCTTCTTTTCTCGTCGGGTTTGAAAACCACGTTTCGGGCCCTCGCCGCTGCAAAAGCTGCGCGCTGACGTCCAGGTTCCCCGAGGAATGCTCTGGGCTACCAGATCCTCGCGCTCCAAATCGGCGGCCGGGCACTCTATGGCTCCGTCGTCGAGAACTGCCAGGCTTTGTGAGTATAGGAAGCTATGGTTTAGCGCTCTCGAAGCCTGAGGTGTGAGGGCGTAACTTTGCAGAAGGCTTTGTTTTCACGCGCACTCCCACGGGGAAGGCGCTTCGTAAACTCACGTGCTCGCGTCCGTGCATTTAACGGCGCCGCACAGCGCTCCTGTGGTATGTTGGCGAGATATATTTGTGCAGCTCCCTCCTATGGTTCCTACCACCGAATGAATGTGACGGCTCGGCCATTGTGGTGCTTGGAATCATTGTTGCAAGTTATCTGAAGCTTTATTACCCGAAATCGCGGAAAACGGTTTTCTGTTCCACATAAATGTGCGTACAGTCCCGCGGCACAGCTAAACGATATCGCCTGAGGTTTCTTCCTGCACATCGCGTATCTAAAGCTCAAGAAGTCGCATTTTTGAATTGGCCATCTTCATTTGCGTCCGTGCTCTTCACTAGGCACTGAAATGGCAGCGCCCACAAGAAAATTTAAGCACAGATTATCGAGTGACTAGTTTCTGTCGGTGCCGTCATGACTACGATTTGCCTCAATGGTTTGGCGACGTCGGTGCTAATTGCAAGAGAAAGTCTGATTGTGTGAGCGAAGAGTGTTCGGTGGAAGCATGTAATCGTCGTGTGCGGGACAGCAACACCGTCAATGACGCTAATCTAACATTAGACTTTTTTTGTTTGTTTTTTGAGATCATATAAATTATTTTAAAGACGCCGTAGTGAACTTTTGACCGAACGCGTTGGGCCGACTGCAGCAACGTTTTTGATCGTGCGCGTCGCTACGGGGGACCATATTTGAGCGTGTTGTTCATTGCTCATGCTCAGAACGAGCTCCCATTCATCGTTTCCTCGGTAGCACACACGTTTCCATGAGCGTCATCAGGATGTCTCTTGCAACGTTGCATGGGTTCTTGACGACGTTCATATAGGACATATATGTCGCTCCTGTCGTGGGAAAGTGCCTGCCATGAGAATGCAGCATCTTGAAATCGCACGGCAAGATGCTCCTCTCTTGGCCGGGTAATGCATGATTTGCGCTTACGTCGTCAGTTGCCATTATGGTGTCCTTGCTGCTGAGCGCGTATCTTTTAAAGCATCCATTGTGCACAGCCGATTTTGTCTTTCTCCAAAAGAACAAATAGGAATGACCACCAACATGGAGCGGTGACGTCACGTCCGAACCATGTATTGTATACAAATAGCCCTACCACGTGCATTGCTGAAGATGTGGAATACATCCAGCAACGTGGCCGTCATAACGTTCTCGGACAAGAAATATAACCGGGTGTCTCTTCTTCAGTCGTTCCAGCAATAGATGTTGGTTTGCCAGATATGTAGCTTGAGCTGGACGGCGTTCCTTTGAGTCTATTCGTGACCGGGTTAGCTTGAGGACTCCTGAACAACATCGCGGTCGTCGAAAGTAGGCCTAGAGAGCCTAGATCTAAGAGAGGGAGCAACTCAAACCACGGACTGTTTGCAATTTAATGGAGGACAGCTCTCGTGCCGATCGGTCGCTCGTGCGCATGCGTGTTTTGCTGCGTGGCGAGGGGAACAGTTGGTGGAGTGGCTGAGCAAAAGCCTGGAGACGCTTGTGGACGATAGATGCTTCGCCTTGCAGATTGAATTGCAAACGCGGTCCATAAACCACGTGACCTCGATGGAGCAGTCGGAAACACTCTGCCAATCTAGGCGCACTGCATAAGCCTTGCCGAAAGAGAATTTCGAAGGCCGAGTAAACGGACCACACCAATCGGAAGCGGGTCTCCCAGTGCACGTTGTTGATGGTGTCTTCGCGCCTTCATTCGCCTTTCCGGTCAGGAGGCCACGGTGTGGCATTTAGCGCGCGGGCGACCGCCACGAACGAGTGACGGACACCTTATTTTGGGACCGGGCTTATTTATAGAATGGAGGGCTCCGGGGCGCTTGGGCGACTACGGTGAAGGCGCGCTCGCACACGCGCTCGTCTGTGCGTTGGTAGTTGCAGTGACCCTATCATTACGGGTCCGTGTCGTCAGTGCTGCAAGTTTGTGGATCGGCCCAACCAATTTCACCTTGCGAGGCACGCCTGGTTGTCTGCAGTCATTCCACTTCCACGTTAATATATGTGTATCGGTTCGACGGTAACTCGTTGCGCTGGGGATGAAGGTCAGGTACTGGCATAGCAGGTGGTGGTGACCGATTATCAATTTAAAATCGGTCGGTGATGTTAACATATAAGTAAAATGCAGATAAGCCGCGCTGTTGCGTCGAATCGAGAGGGATGCGTTATTTGATTAGATAGACCAGAAGGAAAGATAGGGTCTGGGGCCGTATGAGTGACCCCTTTCTGCTCCGGATGGGCTACGGTTGCATGCATATAAACGCATACATAAATGTGGGAAGCGTGGAAGGTTGATATCGCACATATTTATACTATGTACAAAATTTGAGGCGGAAATTGCTGACTACCTGAAGGTTCAAATTAACGCTTTGAGACTCATTCGGGGGTCTTGTGGTACTTTCTGACACCCCAAATTGCATCGAAAAAAGTACAGCGTCAACTTGAACCGTGCCCCCCTACGTAACGGGCACGGGCACCGATGTTATAGGTAATAATTGAGAAGATAATGACTCCAAAGATCTTCATTGAGGACTAATGGTAACCTTGAGACAGAGACCCCCTTCTTGAAGCGAGGACAAGAGGCACGGTCAGGTTTGCGCGACCTTGAAGCTTTCGTCGCGGAGGTCACGAGAGGCAGACGGTCGCGACTGGCTCTTGGACGCACTCACCGTTCACCCATAGGGCAGCGATGCCGGCCAGCGCGACGATCATGATGAGCACGCCACGGGCGTCCACCGAGACCTTCTCCTGCGCCGTGGGAGCCATGGCCCCGGAGCTGGTCCGACCCCGGCCGACCTTCGCTGGTCCTCGAGTAGTCCTCGAGTAGTCTCGCTTCCCCTCTGTCCCCGACTAGTCGATATCCTGTCGGATGTCCTCGGCGACTAGAAGCAGCGTCGTCCCGCCTGCACCATGGGTGGTCTGCAAGAGGGAGACCCTGGAGGACCTAGCCCTTGGCGAAGAACGGCGCGTGCACGTTCTGGCGGGGACCTCTTCGGCTCCGGCGCCCGCGGGTGGAGGAGGCACCTCAGGGTTCGGTTTCGGCGTTCGGAGTCCGCTGTTTTCGTCGGGCGAGGGGAAGAAGGAGGGGGTGCAGCGGAGGGTACGAGGGGTGTCCCGCCTAAGTTTGGGACCCTTTGGTCGGGTGCCAGCCAGCCCGGCCGGGTCCTACGGACCGTCGCTGATGTGTTCTATACTTTGTCTCGCCGTAACTTATTGGCAAACGGCGAAGACTGCACGGTCCCGGTGAGCCAATCAGCGCGTCGGAGAGAGACACGTGACCGTACTCTATCTCGCTAGTTTTGCGCAGTGCTTTCGGAGCCACGGGCGGGAAAGAGTGGACAGTCGCTTTTGTACGGTGGGGTACATAAGCGACGTTTGGGACAAACGAAAGAGGGTCCGGGTACGCGGGGAGTTCTCTTTCCCCTCATCTCCAACTGCTTGGGTTACGCTTTCGCCACCGTCCCCTTTGGGTGAGGGCTGTCCCCACATGATTCGACTCCGCCTCTCTGAATGGCTAGAAAAGGGCCGCAGCGTTCGCTCTTTACTAAGTTACGGTGAAACGAAGTATGGTCCCTGCCCGTCCTGTTTTCTTGCGATCTTCTTTTTAGGCATTCCCCCCGGTGTCTCAGGTGTGTGTGTGTTTCTTTCGGCGTGCGAATAGCGGCGGCCCACTTCCTGTAATTCTAATTGTTGTCGGCCGGAATGGCGCTGGGCGAGGTGCGCCCTGACGGCAGCACTGGATGCTGCTTTGTGCGGGGATAAGGCGCGTGGGGGAGCCGCCATCTATCGAGCTGTCGAGTTTGAGCCATTCCGGCATTAAACGCTCGCTTCCTGCGTCGGCATGCGGGGAGATGCCTGTGATGTCAACATGTCCTTCGAAGGCTCCACGAGGAGAAAGAACTGAACGCCTGTGATTGGGTGAAGCCCGATTTGATGTGCTGCGGTCGAATCAATGTATGCCCGCGCCAAAATGTAGTTTGCGTTGTCAGTGTTTTTTTTTTTTTTGCGTCTGTATTTTTTTATTTGCGGAAGTTGCGTAGTTGAATTCGTAAGCCGGACTCGGGATACTTGGAAATTTCGACGTGTGTACATGTTATCTTTCTCATTACATGTCTTGTTTTGTTTGTTTCGCGGTTCAGGTGCAGTGCGGAAAAGGTATCGGATCGTTCGTTCGTATTGTTCTGCAGGGCGCGGAACAGTTGGCACAAACTCTTTATCGCAGCTCTTTTTTCCTTTCTTTTCTTATTTTTTGTCTCATGTGTGTGTGTGGAGCGGGGGCTCCATCATGCGACAAGGTGTTAAAGAGCGCTTCCCACCACTTATCAAAAAGAAAGATGACAATTGTGTTAGCGCACTATCTTTTTATTTACTTCAATTTACTTCAAAAATAATTGACGTTTCTGGGTGACTGTATTGGTTGTGATTGGTTGTGATGCGAGTTGGGCAAAAGAGTGTGCATATATGTCATGGTGACTTCAAATATAAACCAGTTGAGTTGGCGCCTGTCTTCGTGTCTTCTTTGTCCTCGTTTTGTTCTCTCTTTTTCAAGCTTCTAATCACCACTTACGGTTAGTTACGATGGCATCCTTTCAATTCCAAAGGCTGGTTGACAGATTTGGATGCGTTCGAGTGCGTTGGAATCCCTCGTAATCGCTCACGATGAGAGGACGCTCAAACGCAAATCTGTGAAATACCGTGTTGCGTTCCGTACCCTCTTGAAGAAGTACTAGTGGGACTTGGAGAAATTAAAGTATACTATGCATTAGAAAAAAAAAAAAACTGTTCCGCTATTTTTTTTTTTTTTTTTCGAGTCTGTTAATAACATTTTTGAAGAGGGCGCCTCCGGGGTTCTTTCGCGGAGCCGACTTGTCGACGATGTTTCCAGTTGAGAGGTTTACGACGGGCGAAGCGCCCAAACAGCCTGTTGGCGAGCGGCACTGCCAATTTGTACCGCTTCCGGTAGTGGGCGGGGTCCCGCTCCAGGGCTGCCATAGAGCCCACGGACTCTGCACCTACTGCCCTTGCTCCAATGATAGCCAAATCGTGCGCGGAGTGCAGTCGCCCAAATATTTGGGCGACTACACTTTTTTGTTCTTCTTTTTCTTGGATATTTTGGTTTAGCACATTGTATGTCGAACTGATTTCTTTGTAGACCATTACGGATGGATGGATGTTAATGGCTATACCCTGTGTACCGGGCGGTAGCTTGCGCCACCTAGCACCCTAACGACCGTCTGCGAGTTGCCATCTTTGTCGACTTGGCAACGCGTTCTGAGCATGCGCAGCAGCTCTCTCTTCGGAGTGGCAGACGCCGAGCATGTGTCTACAGCCCAGTAGCTCGGCGTTTCCTGCCTCGGTGATAACTAGTGTATAGACCAGGGGTGGCCAGGATGGCCCTGCCTAAGAGCCGCAAACAAAACCACGAAACTTCCAAGAGCCACGCGGGGGAGGGGGGGGGGGGGGAGTTTGTTCAGGGCAATAAACGAAACTCTAACTACTTCCAATCTATCTGAGTCAAAAGCAGTCCAAGTTTACGTTAGGTAGCAGTAGCGCAAGACTACCAAACCGCAACCTGTCTTTCGATTTAAAATGCATTCCATTTCTCTTTTTGGGAAAGTGCTCGTGTGACAGGGAGGGAGGCGGAGGAGGGGGGGAGGGAGCTGTGAGCCGCACTTCACCATGCGGAGAGCCGCATGCGGAGAGCCGCATGCGGAGAGCCGCATGCGGCTCGCGAGCCGCAGCTTGGCCACCCCTGGTATAGACGGTAACAGCATTACGGTTAAAGTGGAAGCGTTCCTCCCACCTCTTTTCACGTGTGGTCTGTTTGCCTTGCTGCACACCCGACCCGGAGGAATAACACGGAGCCAGCGGTTTCGTGAACAAGAAACTACGTTTAATTGGACATGGACGAGACGATCAATACATTTCACATCGTTACCGGCGGCGCTTGAGTCCAGGCCGCGACTGCCTGTGCGAAGTGGCCGGCTTGACTCCGCCGCTACGCGGGAAAGTTCGCCACCTCTGCGTCGTAGTCGGGCAACTGGGCTGGGGAGCCGCCAGGATGCCCACACACTTAGATGAACCACCGCTGGAGAGGAGTTCGCGAAGAGGGGGGGGGGGGGGGGGAGCTTTCATTTCACTGCTCTTAACCCTGCTCAGCCAATCACGGTCCGTGTGAAATACTTACTGACTATGAAGGGGCCGTCTGATCGGCAATCACCATGGCTCTCCATGGAAGAAATACGCCTATGAGAGTTTGCTGTGCACGGCAAGAGGGAACCGGTCTTAGTACTACTTCGTGATGCTGCGGCAAGTGATTAGCCGATAACGGGCGTTTTCTTATGTCGACCCATTGGCCGCCTCCCCAACCCCTCGGTTGTGTCCAACGGCGCGAACGAAACGCGTCGGCCAATCGGTGAGGGGCGCTGTCCGTAATATCGCAGACTGCCAATCTCCGATTGTCGCATAAGCTGGCAGACTGCCAATCTCCGATTGTCGCATAAGCTTTTCCACTATACTTTTCGAACTTTTTTTTTTTTTTTTGTCTGCGCGTCCGTGTCGGTACTTGTGTGTGATTCTGTTTCTCGTAACGGACATTTTTTCAAGAAGAGTTCTGCGCAGGCTCAGGCGTCTTCACTTGATGATCACACAACGCCACTTGTGTGATTGGCGTTGTGTGATTGGCGACATGAGTTGATAGCACGCACTGCACTCCGATAGCACTCCTTCTCCCTCCTCCTCCCCTGACGCGCACACCTTTTGTCTTTATGTTTTGCTTTTTTACACTCGCGCGTCGACTGTAGCGCCGCCTGGATTGGCCCAAGATTGCAGGCGGCATTCTTCAAACGATGTCGCTACTTTTCCAAAGGGCTTTGGACGGACCGAGTGGCGCTTTTCGTTCGCGGACCGCGTACCACGTGACCGGCACATCACTGATTCCCGAGATTCGCGCCTCGTCCGCGCACACGCGGACTGATAAAGTCGCCTTTTCACTCGCGGATTTTTTGCCGGGAGATTGACTTGAAACGCGTTTAATCTGGCAACAGTACACTTTTTTTTTTTTTTTGTTATTAAAAAAGTTAAAAAATGGCGCATCGTTGTGTTTTGTGCGTTCGCTGGTTCATTCTGTCGCGCGATTGTCGGTTGCACGCGTGAAAGAAACTGCAGAAACTTTGTCCGGCTGTCGCGACGCATGTTCCGGTACTTCTCCGGGTCCCTGTCAAGAAGCTCCCGTCAAAACTCGACGAGCACGCCGTGATAGATATTGCATGCCAATCGGGCTTTCACCGAGCAAGGCCGGTCTTGTGGCTGTGGTGTGCTTGACTGTTGTGCACGAGCGCGAAGGCATTTCCAAACGCTCCTCCGCGAGCCCAGAACTTCATCGCTTCTACGCCGAACCCTTATCGAGCAGGACCATGCCTGTGTAACTGTCATGCCTTGAGTTAGTAAAGCTAGTGGCGCTGCGAAATGTTTCGGTGGCACACTTGTTTGGTTACCTTTCGTGACGTCATTACCTTGAGAACAACAAGTTCGATGGTGTTTGTAATGGGCATGGTGGAAGCCTGAAATCATAGCGCTCTCAAAGCAACACTGCCAAAACCGTCAAAGTTGAAGCTCTTACATTCCTCTTATCTCCGTCGATGAGACATCCTTTGCTGACGTCGTAGTCAGCATTCAGCCAATTGTGGTGGGCCGACCACAGCGACGCTTTCGATCGCTCACGCCGCCAATAACGGTGTATTGTCTCGATCTGTACGTAACAGCGGCGTACTATTCTTTATCGCGGCAGAAAACGTCGATTTCTCTCTTGGACAACGGTTCCACGGTGCGATGTTTGAGTTTCGCGGCACTGGGGGGTGGCAGACAGCTTCGGTCCGTCCTCGCTGGCGTTGCTCGTCGGCTCCCTCGTGTGGATGCGCTTGGGAGACGTACGAACCGCGGACATGTCATCACGTGATCAATCCGTCCGCAGATCAGTCCGTCGTGTGAATCGGCTATTAGCCGCTAAATCTCGAACTACGATTGGTGTCGGGAGAGGAGCTGGTCAAGTTAATTTAGTTTGCGTTGTCTCGAACAAGTGGTGTCTTCTTGTCATGACGAGCCCCTTGAAACTTCATTTATATCGGGGTTCTTGTTTTTTTTGTTTTTGTGTTCGTCGCGTTTAGGCCAAGAAACTGCAGGAGCACAAGCGCAAGTGGGAGCGCAAGCTGGAGGAACGCGAGCTCAGGGAGCGCGCCGAGAGAATCCGCAAGGCCAGGGAGGCACACCAGAACGCTGCCCAACAGGTGAGCATTCTACTCGTATGGAAGCTAGACCTCCATT